TATGTCGATATGCATTGGAGATAAGTTACACATAAGTTATTGCTCAAGTTACTCAATGGTTTTGGATAAGCTAGAGGCCATGACTAAATAGTAACTTACACTTAATGTATGTCGATGATCAGAAAACTCACCAGTTACTTATGCCCCACGTATGGCATATGCTGACATACGAGGTTATTACCATATGTTGATGTGTGCCAGCATGTTTCAGTGTGTTTCAGCATACTTCCGCATGCTAATAACTACAAGACGTACCCATAACTTATCCAATGTATATGCCAGCGTTTTTGCCAGATTTTTCATACCATGGTTTTCATACAGCATTGCATTAACATTATAACTCAGAACTAAGAAGTCACAGCGAAATCCACTCAATGGGGATAGTGTTTTAATTTTTACTTGTGGATGCTTGTATTCTTCATTGATTGTATGACAACAATGTTAGGAATGATGAAAAATATTTCTATGTATTTGGATTGCATATTTAAAGTGATGGAACACCTCTTCTGTTAACCACTAAACATGCCCAACTGATTAAATGTTGCATATAATTTAATAACTACTAAAAACAGCCCAAGTATGAAAGATTAACTAGTGCATTAAATCCGATTTTCGAGAACAATTAAAACCATTAACCTGGTCAACACTTGTTATGCATTGAGAGGCCACATTAATCTCTACTGATGATTGCCACATTTCAGAGGTTCCCATCAAGGCAGATCTGGTGTTTAAGGTATACATGGCAGCAGAGTCCCAGATGTTTTTATATCCTTTCCCTCTGGAATCCATTTTAAAATTGTGCCGTCGTAAGATAAAATATGTGCCAAAGCGGTCTACAAGAACAGTAGAAATGCTACGAAAAATCCTGTTTTGTGCACAGGTACTAAAAGTTGGCTGCTTCCCATTTGGGTCTCTCTGGTTGATAGATTAAAACAGCAACTCTCATTACGCAGCCATACTAGATTGGCAATATGTGGTTTTCCAAGTTGAAATTCTAACTTTTTTGTTGTTGTTTTTTGTTTTTGTGTGTACCAGCTGTGAACCTGAGTCCCATTTCACAGGTAAAGCAGGTTTACTGAAAACTCTAAGTTATCTAAACCTGAAATCCAGATGTACCTGCCTTTGGCTGTGTCCGAATTTCTGCCCTAATTACTGAAAAGTAGTGATCGTCCATTGTCACTAGACGAGCAGATGTATCCCGGAATGCTTTGCAAGGAGGGGGGGCATAAGTTAAAAGTTCTCTTTTCTGTTCGTGCTGTTCTATAAAGGTATGTTTTAAGATAATTTTATACTTTTAAGGGTCACTATATGGCCCATTCACTAATTTGGTGCGTAATTTTTAAAAAAGTTCCTATGTTGAGATGACATCCGAGGCTAACCGCAGCCAGGGCTAATTTCAGCCCTTTCTCTGCATAGCTGTGTGTGAAGTACTGCTGGCTCTCATGGAGAGTTTTTTGGTTTTATTTGGCAAAATGTTCATTTCATTCGTGTTTACCTGACTGTGTCAATTAGTATTCCCCAAGTAAATGAAAAACGTGAGAATATATTATTATCTAGAGATTATTATTAACAGGAGGTGAAACGCAGCTCCAGACGAGCCGAGCTTGTGGTAATGTCATGAGTATGCTTCTGTACAATTGACCCATATTTATGCTATGTCCTCCCATTGTTCCCGAGTCCACAATTTCCTGTGTTCTTCTCAAGAACATACTTTGGGAGGACACAAGTCTGTACTTCGTAAATATACACAGAAGAGCTTTGTTTAGAATGAAAACACCAAAATAACAATAAATGGCCTGTACTTATATAGCGCTTTTTGAAGTCAGGAGATTTGACCAAAGCGTTTTACACTACATTCAGTCATTCACCCATTCACACACACACACACTGATGGTGGCAAGCTACATTGTAGCCACAGCTGCCCTGGGGCTCGCTGACAGAAGCAAGGCTGCCATACACAGCGCCACCGGGCCCTCTGACCACCATCAGTAAACAATGCAGGTGAAGTGTCTTGTCTAAGGACACAACAACACTGAAAGTCGGAGCCGGGCTTGAACCGTCAATCCTTCGATTTCAGGGCAAACTCCTACATCTGATGCCACTGTCGCTGCAACCTGAATAAGCTACTGGGGTGTAGATTTAAAAATTTCCATAATGAGATCATACTCCTCTAAAAGTGCATTCACACTGAACACGATGTCCGTGGCAATTTGGTGAGCATCACCCTGGAGTTCACTGCTGTGCATTTCAGTGTCTTCACTGTGCTTACATATTTACATATACACATCAAAATAGCAAGAACTTTGGCTTCTATTTCAACCCTATTGGTCCAACCGACTCTCCAGAAACAGTTTGTAGAGTACAAAAATCTAATCTAAAAGCTGCATCTGAATGACAGTTGGATTTAGTGGTACTCCCTTGTTTCTAGTTTGGGAGAGAGAACCAGTGCTGGGGAGAATAGTGGCTGGCTGGTGTTTGGGCTGAAGGTAAGGGAGGATGATGAACAGTCCTTCGAGGGCTAAAATAAGGTGTTGTTTAAAGCCACCTTATTCCATCCTTTGTCAACATTATTTTGTTATTACATTTAACAGAAAAAAGCTTTGTCTTGGTTGCGTCAAATTTGCAATTTAATGTGTTGTTTTTTGTTTTAACACATTAAAGTTTTGTGTTAGAAAAGTATTTAGCCATCTGAGAATAAATAAAGCTGCTAGAAATGAATCTATGATCATAAAATTTGCCCGAAGTTGTAGTTACACTGTGCATTTTTCCATTTAATTTAACATTTTAAATAATACTTTTTTTGTTTCAGTCAAATTTTCTGCCATCATTCAGAGGGAAGGAGAAAGCTGCATTTGGATCAGCATTAAAGAGATTTCCTTTTTCGTTTCCCTTTTTCTGGTAAGTACATTTCCAAAACAGCAGCATTAGGTAACAGGAGCTCAGTCTTTTTTGTAGGTATTTCTTATCAATTTATGAGATTTAATTATTGTTTAAAACATTTATAGCCACATCTATGTATTCCATGACCTGTTAAATCTTTTCCACAAGGGTTCTTTTGCGCTTTACTCTAATTAAATTCCTTTGTTCAGCTATTTTCTAAATTAAGACCATCTTCCAAACATTCAGAGACACCTGAGATCCAGGGAATACTTCACGGAAAAAAAGAAAAAACATGAAAATGACATCAAACCACAACCTCCACATGCAGATGGTGGTTACTTGTAATCAACATATTTATGCTTGCATGCAGATCTGAATATAGTGTAACTATTCCTATAAACAACAGGTGCATTTCCAGCGCAGTAAATCAGCTGTCAAATGCAAAGATGCATCATCTGATCTCCCATGCATCTGGTTTTTAATGTGCTGAGAGGTTAAGAAGAATCCAAAAATATCCGCAAAACAGTTACACAAATAAAGGCCAGTAAATTGATTTGCAAAAGAACCAGAAGCCTAGTCTTGTTGTTTTTTGGTTAGGTTTTATTCTTATATTATTATTTTTAGGCAATGTTATTTTGATTAATATTTTTTTTTATTTGTTTAATAAAAAAGGTGCTTTGTTTAACAAATTCAAATTACAACCTTTGTTCTTGCAAAGGTTGTAATTTGTCTGAGGTTGTTTTTGATTAAATGATTAAAGGTAACATTATTTCATATTTATTTATTTCAAAATGTTGGTAAATTGCTGAATTTTACATTTAAACATATTCCCATGTCCAGTTCAGAAAGTAATCTAAGATCCAGTTTAGTTTATATTATATTTCATCTAAAAAAACAGCATTTTGTATATAAATAAGATCTGCTCCTATAAGCAGCCCTGAAATAAAGCCATACATGTCCCCTGAACATTATTTATTTTCCCTCTGCTCTGCCTCATTAAAAACATAAACACATCTCCACTATTGATTACGTCTGGATGTCTTAATCTGATCTGCAGGAATATTCTGCATTTTCCACTAGAGGAAAGTACACTGAATGCCAAAATATTGATCATTTTTTTAATTCAAACTATACAGCTTTGTCATTAAAGCAATCACCCTTTGGTCTAGTGACTCTGATGTGGAGTGACATGAAAAGAAAACATTCAAATCATAATTCCTTTTTTTATTATTTAAAAGACTGAAAGGAAAGAGAGTCTGTCCTCGGGCTTCTGGTGACACGGGCACACCGTAATCAATAAGAGCGTGTGATGGGTTTTGCATCGATCAGGAAAATGTGGGTTGATAAAGTGGGTTGTGAGGATTGGGCCATGGAGCTTTGGCTTCCCTCTGATGGCTGTCGCACCATTCAGGCGCTGTAAACATCCACTAAAAGCTCTGTGCTGTCATCTGAAGAGGTTTATACAGTTATTTACTGGGGAATCCTGCCTCTTGCAAGTTTGGGGGGGGTTCTTTCCCCTCTGCACAGATTGGAGAAGTGCCGTGGGAAGCAGCTGTTGCTGCTTCAAAAGAGGGCAGGCGGTGAAAAAGCCGGACCTGTGGTGGAGAGGATAAAAGACCAAAGGGAACAGTTTAACTCTGTAAGCTTTCTCTGAGTCCTCAAAAGCCAAGTAAACAGACCTGTAAATCAACCTTAGTGAGCATGCTTATCTCTGCAATGTCTATCTATCTATCTATCTATCTATCTATCTATCTATCTATCTATCTATCTATCTATCTATCTATCTATCTATCTATCTATCTATCTATCTGTCTGTCTGTCTGTCTGTCTGTCTGTCTGTCTGTCTGTCTGTCTGTCTGTCTGTCTGTCTGTCTGTCTGTCTGTCTGTCTGTCTGTCTGCTGAAGGGGGGTGCCCATGTTTTGCTCCCTTGTGAATGGACACTGACTGGTTATCTATTAGTCTAACTCAGCCCTGTAATCCTTCATTCCCATTGGCTGTTTCCAGGACAGCCTTCCCCAAACCTACCAATGACGCTCAGCTCTGCACACCCAAACCACTCCTTCCCTGTCTTAAAGAGCCCCATGGTCTTCAATGGAGACTCAATTTCCCCACTCACTTTACTCAGCCAGAGAGCAGGCTTTCTCCTCTCTCTGTTGCTGCTCTCCATCGTTCTGCCTCTTTATCTTCTCATTCTCAGTGTCCCTCCATCCTTCTTGTCACCTTTAATTCTTGAACTCTCTTCTTTCTTTGCACTTCCTTTTCCCATTTTTCTTCTTTTTTTCCTCATCCTTAACAATCCTAAGTGTTCAACACTTTTTCAGATTGGAGTTTTTTTGACCCAAGGAAAAGGTTTTATTTCTTTTTATATATTACTGTTAAGAGTGTTGAAAGAAAGAAGGAGTGAAATACGCAACAAAGGAAGAATTAAGAATTAATTTGTGAAGATATGATGAGCTGATCTTCTCTTCTACATTTGCTCCAGCTGTTCTTCCTGTTCTTCATCTATTTTTTGTTGTTTTTTCCTGCAACAATTGGAATGCTTAATGTTGACTGATGGATGTTTCTGAACTGTGCATCCCAGACCCCCTCTGCTACCACAACCAGTGAGTGCGTTTCTTTACTCATCCTTCTGCTCTTGTCTTTTGGCAGCACTTTTCACCACTTTATACATAAAAAAAAAGTTTTATTTACAGGAGAGAAAGAAAGTAAAGAATCTTGTCCAAAAGTTCAGCATTCTGACAGTTGAGAAAGTTTTTGTTTTGGGACAAGTGATGTCCGGTGCAGCTGCAGCAGCAAAGCTTGCAGTGAGTCCAGGAAGCACAATTGCACCAGGATCCAAGGTTTCGGAGCATTTTTACTATTATTTTACAGCCTACAAACCTTTGCAGGTGCACACATGCTCTTAGGGCAGGCGACTATAACCCTTACACTAGGATAAAAAAATAAAAATGAATAAAACTTTCACATCCACTAGGATTTTATTTCCACTCTCATCAAGAAGTCAGGATGAAATGTCTGTTTGCAAATTTATATTTTTGATTAACAATCTAAATAAAATTATGGTAAATAAAATAATACTTTGTTAGAAATTAAGGCATCATTTCCAAAGTGATATGTGTTGCTCATTAGTCTAAAGTTTTTAACTTTAAAATGAACACATCTGACAGACTTTTTTAAGCTTTGGAGGTTTCTGATATGACTTTTAGTCTAAGTCATTAAGATTTCTTTTCAGGTACACCCTTTAGCAATAGCAATAACAATGTAAAGTATAATCTTGACTCGAAATTTGACTGTGTTTTTTTGTTAAAGCACTAGTTTTAATTTAGCATCCTGGAAAGTCAAAAATAAGATCTACAAAAGGCCCTCCTATTTAGAAATTTTTCATTGCTTTTTTCTAAAGAGTTTATTTAGATTCATTTTGATTATTTATTTATCATTAAAGTATACCAAATACATGTTTTACAGAGCATTTTTTGCTCTCATCTGGTACAGTATCTTTATCATCAACTCTCCCAAAAATTAAAAGAACTAATTAGAGACAGTATAAAAAAGTTAGTTTTTCATGTCTAATGTTGGATTTAATTTCTTTAGTGAAGTCAAAATAGGTGTAATTTACCTAATCATGAAAAAGAGAAATTTTAACTAATACAATATTAACAGATTGTATCACTTATTTTTAATGTCACATATGATTTTAATGCTTATATTTGATGTACATGTGACAAAATAATCTTGCAGTAAACTTATCTTATGTTCCTTATGTATATGCTTTCTTTTCAGTAAGAAAGAAAGCATATACATAACACAACCGTGTTAACCTGCAGCAACTTTGTGTGTGTTTGTGTGTGTGGCATAATCTATGTTGTGTTTTTCTTTATGCAACTGTTTCTCTAAATCAGGGAGTTAAACTTACTCTCTTTGTGTGAAATTGATGTCATCCCACAATTTATCACAATCTGGACATGAATGTGGTGTAGCTGCTTATGTTTGCAAACAGAAAACCTGCACGACTGGCGACACACAGAGCTGTACTCAGATCGGATCGGCTCTGGAGAGCACCATTAATCTCACTAGAGAACTTTTGGTAAGACGACCTGCCTGTTAGTCGGTCCGGCTGTCATACCTACTGTGGGCTACTCTAAGTAAACAAACATATTTCTTCACAAACACGACTTAAAAGGAGAATCTTTTTTGGTTGTTTAAACGTATTTTCAGCTGTCAAATTATTCTCTGTTTAATTAAAATTAGAATACTTGCAGAGCAAGTGGAGTAAAGAATAAAAATTGCACAAGAGTTTGCTGGGAATAAAAAAAAAAAAGATGTGTTTTTTGCTCATTTGAAGTCTGACCAAAACCAGTAAATTTGATTATCCATTTTCAACTCAAAGTCTAAATTCTTACATGTTAAAAAGAAGTTGTTTCTTTTTTTACTGAAAAGTTTTACTATCTCTTTCTGCTCATACAATTTCCCTCTGCTCTTTTTATTTACTTGCTACCTCCTCACAAACTGGTATTGTAAGCGTTGAAATGTGTTCATACAGTCACAATAATACCTATGTGTTTGCACTAACCTGGGATCTAAATTTAACTGTGCCGACACCTGACAGTGTCTGTTAACAATGAACACTAACCATCATAAACTGAAAAAAAAGTTTGTATATAACATGTATATATCGATTAAATGAAAAAGTTAAGAAACTGTTGTTTAGTCTTTTTATTACTTGCTTCTTCACCAATTAGCTGGACAGGTTAATAACCGCTTTACTTACCTAATGCATTAGTTAACAAATGTTTTTTTGAAATTTGCTTGCTGCTGTGAGGCAATTGTGGTTGGTAAATACAGAAGCTCAAAAAAATTTAAACAAATATCTGTACTATATGCATTTTATAGTGAAGTAAACGTGTAATTATAAATTCATGAAAATAAAATATTGTAATCTCTGTATTGTAACAATATCTCAACAGTCATCATTATGAGACAGGAAGCTGTATAACAGTTAAAGGGCTCCTAAAAAGACAACATTTCTTAAAATTTCTTAAAGAATAGTAAAAAAAACTTTTAAATCAATTGTATATATTACAGTCCTTTTAATTTTTCAAAAAGTTAGTAATGGTATAACAGCAGTCAATTCATTCAATAATAACTGTTGACCAGATTAATGTCATTTCCCTCTGGGATTTGTGATGATTTATATTTATTAATGAGCTCCAGGTCTCTTAGGTTGGAAGGCCTCCTTACAGTCACTCTAATCTTTAACTATCACCACATATTCCTAATTAGGCAACTTTGGACTTTGGTTGAATCACTAAAAACTATTTTGATTACTTCATTACTTTAAATCTAATATGTAGAGAGTGTTTTTTTTCTTCATAAAAAACACTCAAACGGTAAAGAGGAAACCATGACAATGGTGTCTTAAAATGTAATTATTTTTTTAAGAAAGGTTTTATGTTTCCAGTCAATTCGTATAAAACAAAATGCATAACTATAGTAGTGCAGTTAAAAGCCCTAAATGTCGGACTTTTATATTGTTGCTAAAAAAGTTTATATCATTTACCAAAATATTGGCATAATGCGGAGAACAAAGAAACAAGAAAAAAATGTGATGTTAAATTAGATGAATTTGGGAACTGCTGTTGGAAAACTGTTATGAGAAGGACTTCTGTAAAAGGACAAAAAATTATCCAAATGTTGCTTAAAGCTTTCTAACCGATTTTAATTTCCATAAAGTTAAATTTAAAAAAAAGAATCTTCTTGCTGGGTTTTCTTCATGGCCATCCTGTTTATTAATGGCTCAACATGCAGCTACAACCAGGCTCTATTGGTTCACTCTGATGGTATGAGAGGCGAAATAACTTCATTACATGTCATGACCCTCTCTTGATATAGATACATCCTTTAGGCAGCTTGTCAAGGACTCTGAATTCATGAGGATGTAGATAGATGCCCTCCCACTTCCTTTTTTGCATCGACTCTTCAGTCCAAACCTGAATCATACACGCAGCAAAGATGACTTCTTAGAAGGAGTTTGTTTTATTGATCAAATGAAATTAGCACACAAACACAGTGGAGAGATGAAGCGGTTCATCTAATCATGAAGCGTAACTCAGGAGGGATGTTTAATTTAATGGGCCTCATCGTAGCTCCGCAAGGTCTCACATTGTGAACTTAATTCCTCTTCACCACCTTCATTTGCATTGTGTCAATTGACCGGAGCGCTTACTGTATCAGCTAGGGTTTCTCTTAAGATTCAGCCCATGCCCTAATACCATTAGGCAAATGCAAAGTTGTGTCATTTACACATTTGAGAAGAACAAGAAAAAAAAAAAGAAAGCTGGAGGGGAAGGAGGGATGAGAGAAAAGCCAATTTGTGCCGAACACGACTCGGCTGTGATTATCAGTGGATGTTATTACTGTGGAGAAGCAGACATTTGAAGGTTATGTTTCTGGGCAGTAATTGAAATGCAAAATAACATTAGGATCGATGGCCATCTCTGTTTATTTATGAAATCAATATCGTAACTGTCCCACATGGGTCCTCCTCTGATTCCCAATGACGGCTTAAGTCTCTGCTCGTTTATCCCACCACCACCACCCCTGCAACCTCCGTCTTCTGTCTCTTTTTAAAAGGCAGTTAGGGGTGTGTTTGACTTTGCAGAGAGAGCAATTTCCTCGAGGTGGTTGGATGTGTATGTAGATGGGGGGTTGATACTCCAGGTAAGGAGACATCATCCATGAGGGAAATCTATGCAATCTCTCCTCTTGGCTGTGACATTGAAGAGGCCAGATGCTGAAAGTTCTGTGTACTAAGCGTTCTTGCATATGTGTTTGCGTTAGGGTGGCAGAAAATTAAACCAAGTACACTAATGCGGTATAAACCCACCACTGGGGCTCAGTAACTTAGAAAGAGAACACTAAGTTAGAAAGTGAAAATTACAGCAGAACAAAATTACGGATTACTTATTTTTCCCTCCAAAAATGTCAGAATGCCACGATTTGGCACCCTTCATATACAAAAAAGGAAAACACTTCCTGGTGCATCAAGGTACTGCAGATTCATACAAAGTCTAAAGTAAATATTTTCTGTATGATAACATCAAGATGTTACATTTGACACAAGATGTAACCATGATACATCTACAGCCAGTGTAAAAACAACAGTTTTTGCCAATTGTTGCTTTTAGATATTCATATAAATATGTAATTTTAGATTATTGAAATAAATCATCAACAAGTGTCACTGCAGTCTCCACAATATCCTCATGCATTAAACTAAAAATACGATGTTGAAATGATATGTTAAAAGCGTACAACACTATAAAAACCTTATTATGGTGCAGCGATCAGAGGTCTGAAAATTATGCATTCAGCTGTGTCCACCGCTTTTGTCTGCTCCAGATCAGACTACTGTGAGACCAATTTTACAAAGAGTCTGAGGAAAATATACTTTTACTCTGCAAATATGGGAGCACGCTTTCAATCCTTCACAAGCAACAAAGAGGTCCAATCCACATACTAAAGTCACTGAAAATGACTTAAAACATACATTTTATTCATTATATATTTTAAATACATTGCATGATTAAAATGTTAATTACTTAAAGTTATATTTGAGGTTCATGTTGTTTTTTTTAATCTCCTGACCCCGACAAAATCCAGACTTTAATCTCTGGAGCGAGTTAAAGATCAGGGTAAAGGCAGGCAGGCTTTCCAACATCAAATACTTGGAGCTCAGTACCAAGGACTATTCAGCAAGGATAAGGATTTGACATCTGCATTTTCAATAGACTTTTCTCCCTGTTTATTAAATTTATTAATAATTTTTAAAAAGCCACTTTATTGTAAATAAAAAAAAAACAGACGAATCTTATATTGTTTTTTTCTTTTTTAAATAGTTGTATTATGTTTTATATGTTTTCTTTCTTTTTCCTATCAAGCTGAAAGCTCTTAATTGAATTAAAGCTATTTGAAATTGACATATGCCTGGGTTGTATATACTTAAAGACTAAACTGTAGTTCAGTTCCCCTTTTTCTGTTGATCTTAAGACCATGTGTATATTATTCAGATTTGTTCAGTTTACTGCTTTTCTCATTAGCAGTTTGAGTTTTTCATTCATTTAAATAGTGTTATAATTAAAACTGTATATATATTATTAATGGTTTATATCTTACCTCTGTCAGTTTCTCATAAATTAAAATTAAAGTCTTTTATGAAAATGGGGGGGGGGGGGGGAATCATCTCACTTGACCTTTTTGCCTTTATATTTCTGGGCATGAAATTTTAGATTGCTTTGATTGTTAGAGCGAACACCCACGCCACCCTTCTCGTGTTGTTGCTCCCGTTTAACTCCCGAGACATCACGCGTCTCCTGTTTTTTCCCTGAAGTGACCATTCATTTCCTGGACACAACGATACGATGGACTAACAGCTTAATCTATGTGTTTTGCGGTACGGGGCACTCACTTTAAAGCTGATAGAGTTTGCCCCAAACAAGGACGGCCTATCATACAAAGATTAATGAACTAATTTCATGCATGGCTCCTTGCCTCTGTCCTTCTGTGTGCTTCCATGTTAGGCTCAGTGTTCACCTCAGTGATTTACACTGCATCGCTTACAACCAACTCAACCCAAAGTTTACCACTTATACGTCTCTTACTTGGTATACAATAGATTTGTTTAATAAAAGCATGTTGAGAATTCTGTCAGATATACATGTTTGATTCTGGTAGCAAATTTTCAAAGTGGATTGAGTCATATGCAAATATTAGAGTTTCAAGCTAAAAAAGAAGTCACAGCTGATTTGCGTTGCTAACTTTAAACTGTCTGGATGGCTTGGTGGTTTTCCATGTGGAGGGAAGTCTCATTCTTGCCGTGTGATGGACAGATGGAAACCCGTGTCTGCTGCATCCACAGTGGGACTGTCTCACAGCAGCAGAACAGAGAAGGCAGGTGACCTTCACGTCTGTCTGATGAGTCCTGCTTGTCTGCTCTGTTTGAACCATTTTTCTGCACAGCGGAGCAAACACTAACCCATTAGATATTAGGTGCAATGCGTTTGAGATGGTGTGTGTTTTACCAAGGGACACATCGAGGAGGGTCAGGCTACACTTTGAGAACTCACTGTCTCTATATAATAAGAGCAAGAAAACCAAATAATGAAACTACGTACCTATTTCTGTCTACGCGAATCGGTGGTTCGTGCCATTATTTCATTTGGACAGATCTGAAAGGACCCATTAGAAATTTCCATTAAACGTAACAAAAAAACCTCTCCCCAGCGTTGCTGTGTGCTAAGTGTGGAATGAACTACTTTTTACCAACGCCACAATGTACTATTCCGCAGGGATTCCCCCCCATATCTAGCTGTGATGATGTATTAACTGTTACCATGCTGCTTTCTGCACCTCCCTCTGACGGGAAAAAAATCTGCCCTCCAAACTGACTGTAAGCCCATGCTGATTTTCAACAAGATTTAACAGGAGTGCTGTGAATCTTTTATAAACCACAATGGCCTCACAATGAAGATGTAATGTTGTATCGCTCCATCTCGCACTATGTTAACAGTGCTGGCTGATTAAAAATGCATAAGGAATGTCTGGGATCTGTAAGGCAGGGGTTTATTTTTTCATGCCTCGTCTTAAACAGGAAGGAAGCAGGAGGATCGATAGAGCCGATCCAGGCTTGAGGATGGAGGCTATCTCCATCCCTCTTTCCATCCTTCTCTGTTAGCACTTAAGAGAACTTTCATGCTGTCAGAGCTTTATGACTTACTGACTTAATGCTTAGTGGAAAAGGACATCCCTAACCATCAGCACCAGATCTAAAACAAAGGGCTCCTCTTTGGAGTACTTTGGTAAAAATAAAAGAGGAAGGAAAATAATGTACCGTTACTTAACCAAAAAATCTGTAATATTAGGAAAATTTGTAGCTTCTGATTATCACAATGATGATATCTGTAGCAATTAGTTCTTGATTCAGTGGGATGTGGCCCCATTGGCTAGCACCGGTTTTTGCTCACCACCCAAGTTTTTTTAATGCTTTAAAATGACAATATATTGACATAAAAATTGCTGAGAGGATTTAAGTAAACAATCAGATATAAAATGCCTTACCTGATGTGACTTTAATCATTTTCCTTCAAAAACAACAAAATCTATTAGCGGTAGAAAATCTTTGTGGAGCCTCAAAATCTCAGGCTTCTGCCCATGTATGCTCTTTTTAGAGCCATCATGATATTGTCTGCATCACTGTGAAGTTTTAGCATCTTATCTCTAAAAGGTACATCAGATTTCAGCTAACTAAAATATTATTATATTGAGAATTATGAATGCATGATGCTGAATGAATACAACAATGTGCTGAATGTTACATACAAGAAGTCCTTTGTATTACAGTTTTGAGATCAAATGTAGTTCAGCAGCCACTATGACGGTAAATTGTGATGGCATTTCTGATGCGGTAATACAACGTTATCAAATACACGGCCTTGTTTTATCACTGAATGATCTCAACACTATCACTGAATATCTCATTTTTTTGTAAAATCTGTTTCTATTCAGTTGATTGCTGTTGATAACTGCATGTAACATCACAGGGTTTAATAGAGCAAAAAACTCTGGCTGTTGTTAATTACTATCCAGATGGTTATTTTCAGACTTTATTCCTGTTATATTGAAGATTTACTTGCAGGTGGCATAAAACTTTAAGAAAATTTTTATAATTTTTCGCTTATGTTGTTACTAAATTCCAGTTTATCCTCTTCCGCTATCCTGCTCATTGAATTAAATTGAATTACTCTGTTAATAGATTTGATTGAATATAGAGAGTAAGAATAATTATTTTAGATATTATCTTTATCTAAATAACACAGACTTTTACAGCAGTTGGAGTTCCAGGCTCAATAGCTCAATTTGAATAAATAAAAATGTGAAAATCTATTTAAGAGTTATTATACAAACTTATGGTCTTAATTAAAGGTATGATTCAACTATGCAACCCAGATGTTCTTTGGTAGCAATAATCTCAGGCCTCTGTATGACATTTAAAATTTAACTAAATATAAACATTCAAAACTATATTAGCCAATAAATAAAAGGTTTCCAGACATTTAACTATAATCATTTAGTTTTTTCATAGTAGATAATTACTTATATAGAGTCCCCTCGGCCTTATTGTAAGAATGTGAGGATAAAAAACTTTAATTTTGCTTATTCAGATTTACATGTTTATTCACACTTGGAGTGAGACCTACATGTTAAAAAAATACATCTTATAATCATTGTTTTTAACTGCATCGTATTCTAAACCATACATTGTTATTAATTAAAACATGTCTGGCATGTTCTAATGGAGCTTTAACTATTGTAAGCAGAGCTGCAAGAACTTTAGTAGATCTTCTTCTACACTTAAAATCAGGTCGTAACTCCTAAACATCAATTATATGAAAAGATTTAATCTTGGGAAATAAATGCAACAAAACAAAAGATCTAACATCACTGGTCTAAATCCTTAAATGGGCTTTGACAGAAAATATGAACTGTGACGGGGTTTAAAAGGGCAGATGATGGAAAAGAAATGTTTGGGAAATTCACAAAACAGAACCTGTAGATAATAGTGAATTTTAAGGGTCAAATCTGCGATTATTTAAAAATGTTTTAAAAATGTGCAGAAACCCCTTAACAGGATTTAAAATAAAAAGGTTTTTCCAGGTCAGAGCTTCAATCCGAGGCAGCAGTAATCTGGCACCATTGGCTTGCAAAATAACCAGGACTATCGATTTGGTCATCTATTACCCACAATCCCCCAAATGCTGAGTGTAACACCTCTCTCTGTCCATTAACAGGCTTCTAGGATTTCATTCATTCATTCATTCATTTGCCTCTGGCAGGCAGCCAGTTGTGGGCATTGTTTTCAAGATGTATGGAGCATCTGTTGACATGGTCGTTAGTTAGCATTTAGCCTGAGAAGAATGGACTCTGTCGGTGCACTGCTTGGCATTCCAGCATGTTGATGGTTGTGTAACGGAATCTATCAAACTCAGATGAACCAGCTGATGAATTTCTTACAGGATGATGGACTGATGATGGGAGTGGGTTTTTTTCACAGCAGTTTAGTGTTGCACATTGAGCTGCTCTTTTGAAAATATCTTTTTGGTATTCGTGAATAAGCTTAAGGAGTTGTTTTGGAAGCAGTTTTATATATATATGTATTTTTATATATATATATATATATATATATATATATATATATATATATATATATATATATATATATATATATATATATATATATATATATATATATTAAAAATTCAAGTGCAATTTTCTATTTTGAGATTTTGAAAATAACCCAAAATAAATTTAAGTACAAGTTTTTTTTTTTTTTTTTTTAAATCTTTTTATGAATGAAAATCCCTCTATCTGTTTGTTTGTCCAGGTTGCTGACCAGAATGCCCACTGACGACCGACACCTACCCTCCAGCTGCGGTTCTTACGTCAAAACTGAGCCTTCCAGTCCATCCTCCTCCCTTGTAGACACTGGCAGTCATCACAGTCCCAGCGGAAACTCAGACGCCAGTGGCGGCTACATTAACGGCACCGGTGGACGCTCCCATGCCCTAGACTCACCTCCCATGTTCAACCCCAGCATGCTCAGTGGAGGCAGTGCATGCCTACGTCGTTACGAGGAGTGCTCCGGCAGCATGGCTGATGACTCGCCAATTAAGTGCGAGTACATGCTCAATGCCATTCCCAAGAGGCTGTGTCTGGTGTGCGGTGACATTGCCTCAGGCTATCACTATGGGGTCGCCTCTTGTGAGGCCTGCAAAGCCTTTTTCAAAAGGACGATACAAGGTATTTTTCAACGTCTCTTTGTAACCTTACACTCTTTTGAGCTGATTTGTAGAGTTAAAGTGACTTTATCCAGTGTTTACTGTAAACTGATCGCACCACCACATACCTAGCCTTCAGAAGTTTATCTGTTGAGAGCTCACAAGAAAATCACACCAGAAATACAGAGCAAAGCATAATAAACCAATTCAAAACCTTCAAATTGCAGAATCCACATTAAACAAACACCTGAAGATAAACCTGGAAGTGGACCAAAATGGGAACAACTGAAGTGGGATTAAATACAAATACACAACAAATATTTTCTTGAGCTCTTTGGAAACAACAAGTTTTTCCAGAAATATACAGTACAATTCAATTCAGTCATATGGAGGCTAAATTACCTACACAGTATGGGGGGTACATAGTGGACATTTTAATTTTTGATCCCTTTACTAAGCAATAGTACCTCTTGAGCTGAAGCTAAAAGCCAAGCTTTTTCCTATAAGCAACAAATATTAATATGCATAAGGATGAATTCGTACCCTCCATTAGAGTATTTCCAATTTCCTAAAAACTCTATAACCAGCAACAGCTCTTCAAGAAACAACAGCCGACCAAGAATAACCTGAGATGGGAAGTACAAATATTTCGTTACTGTACTCAAGTAGATTTTTCTGATATTTTTACTTTACTTTACTACTTATGTTTATGCCGACTTTTTACTTCTACTCCTTACATTTTTACACAAATATCTGTACTTTCTACTCCTTACATTTTAAAAAATTGGCTCGTTACTTTAGTTTTGAATCATTTCAATGGAGTTACCGTTATTATTTTTCACGTCATCAATACCAAATTCAATCTAATTGGATGTGAATCTACGTTGCATTTGACGCACCGCTACAAGATGAATCGACAGATTCGGTGGTATTCATTCGCGGCAAATCATTGCAGCTTGGTGGCGGTGGCGTTAGCATAGTAGAATGGACGACGAGATGATTGAAAATGAACACAATGGAGATCTAGTCTTATTGGCAGACATCCATTTAAAATGTAGGCAACGGCATGAAAAAAGTGGTTTCTACTTTTACTTTTATACTTTAAGTAAATTTACAAGCCTGTACTTTGTTACTTTTACTTGAGTAAAGAAGTTTAATCAGTACTTCCACTTTTACCAGAGTATTTTTTAACACAATTATCTATACTTTTACTCAAGTACGGAAAGTGAGTACTTTTGCCATCTCTGAGAATAACCTTTACTGGTGAAGACAACCACCTGACCATAAACCACAAATTTAAAGCTGCATCAAGAGGCCAGAGCAGTTTAATTTGATTTTCAGTTTAAGATAGAAGGTATGCTGATGGGAACACAGAATTTCCCTCAAAGAGACAAATTCTGCCTGTTAACAGCTAAAGAAAATATCTGTCTGAAAGCCTCATCTTACATCGTCATCCTACAGCGAACAATTTCTTTAAATTTACTTGCAGTACTCAATACTTTTAAAGAATTTATTTCCCACCAATCTTTAGTTATTAATGCATTCTTATTTCATTTCTGTAATAAGTTGAATTCATCTTTGATTATCTTGAATACCCTACCACTAATTTTATTTGACTTTTCCTGTACAGCAAACCAAAGGTAAAGGTTTAGTTAAAATATAATACCATTGATATAAAAACCCACTCTTTACTGCTATGAAAAACTATCACTATTATGCTTAACTGTAGGAGGCAGTTAATATATAGGATAAGTATGAGCATTAACATAATTTCTTTATATAGATGTGCAGAGAAATATATAGTTATATTTGTAACAGCACAGAATAATTTAGTAAATGTTTGAATTGTTAAATTTTTTTCATGCTTTTCTAAGTGCCAGGTATCATTTTACAACTAAAGCTCTTATTGTGTTTCTTACAAACAGAGTTGAGGTTTCGTAAATCTCAGGTTTTGAATTAAAGACTCCCTGTTGAGTGCGAACAATCCAGTTAAAGTCTGACCTAAAGGGTAAAGATTTAAAAGCTACAGATGGTTAAACACAGACTTGACTCATAAACTGAATTAAACTCAAATTCAGTTTTATATACTTAAAGCCCACATTGGAATCTGTGATTCAGTTTCCAAATTTAGCCGTCATTAGCCTCCCTCAGGGGGACGTTTAGTTGTAGTGTTTGCATTGTGGATAACAAGGACGGGTTACTCACGTTGCTGGACACCAGACTTGCAAATAAGCAATAAAGAAAAATCTGACAAATTACTTTTTTGTGTTCAGAAAAAAGCCACCAGATACTTACTGTTGCTTGTGTACTTCTTACAAGCAAAGGTTGTAGCTTACCTAGTTTAGCTGCATATTTTCCTTAATTTAACATGGCAGCTCTGATTGAGGCGAAACACTAGCCGGAGGAAAAGTACGCTTTAATTTTAACAACTTCCTCTATTAAGCTATCAAACCCCGTTCTACGCTTAAGGGACTAAAGTAGGGATTAGCAGGCAGTATAACCAGACTACAACTCTTTCAATCGTGTTGTTTTTAGGTTTTTAAATGCAATTGTTTTGCAAATGCAAATCTTATTTATAATGTTTGGAAATGTGCCTCGGCTTTCGGATATTGAAATATTAAATTAAATCCATCAAGAAGACGACTACTGGCATTAAAATGGGATAGAACAAGTGAGTAGACAGTCTTTGCTAAGAATCAGTGTATGGGGTCCTCATAAAAGAATAAAGACAGTCGGACAGAATAAGAAAAAACATTTAAATCTTTAACAAAATTAAAGGGTCATCTTCTTTAAGGAAAAGATTTTTAGAAAATTATCATTCTGGCCAAAAACTATCTGCAGCTGCTTAAATCGTAATTTTGGTTATTTGGCAATTAATTACTGGTTGTATAAGGGTAAACTTTAGAGGTTTTAGTTCCAGAAAGTTTTCACCTTTGTTGTATTTAAATCCAATTCCAGCTGTTTCAAGTTAAAAAATAAAAACATTATTAAAAGACTTACAATAAAAAGTTAGACCAAGTTTTCCCCTTTTCTGTTTCTTCCTCCCGCTCTCCTTTGTGGAGGACAGGCTTGTACTGAGCTTAATCTATCCGTCATTTGTCCTGAGCCACGGGAGTTTCAGTCAATAACAATCAGTGTTGGGGAACTGTAATTAAGAGCAAGGAATTTCATTGGATGAAAAGTCAAAAAAGCAGAACAGAGCTGCTGTCTCTATATTGTCCTCGGACCTCCCATCAAAGCCCATGAGCAAAGGGTGAGAGCAGACGGAGGTCAATTAGAAGCTCAAGCACGTGTTTCAGTGGCAATAACAGAGATGGGAGACAGTGGAAAAAAAATAGGATGCGTTTGGAGGAGTCCTCTAAATAAACGCAGAGGGGCATGTGACGGTGGGGACATGGTCATTCACAGAAAGGAGAAGCCACTTTAATGGAATGGTAATCAGAGACGGGGGTCCCGGCCCCAGTAAAGGAGGCGAACAAGGAGAGGTCCAGCTTGAGTGGAGATGGGCGCGTAGATAATAGCATGGCATAATAATATATCAGCATTTAGGGGCAAAATAAAAGAGGTTAAGGAAGGATGTTAGAGTGGTTGAAATGTCCTTTGAAAAGTAAAGGTAGATGCAAGACCTTATTAACTAAGAGGGTATGCCTCTGCTTTTAGACAGAGGTCATTTAACTCTATACAGAACCCACGGTGCAGCAACTCACTTTCACTACCCAAAAACAACTTAATCCAACTGAACAAGAATATATAAATAAAGAATTGATCTTTATTTTCAATTCATTTAAACCTTTTTTATACCAGTAGATCTCATTCCAGGTTCTCGTTTTTCATGGTAACCTTTTTAAAATGAATATACACGACAAAAATTTAAATGAATATTTCAAAACTACACGAAATGTGTGGGCGAAAACATTTTTTACATAAACAGGATTTTCTTTTCCTATTCTTCTGTACAAATATTTAGTATGAATACAAATAAGTATTTTTTCACACATAATTCAAATTTTTATTTTATGTTTTTATACCTGAATTCTCATATTTTTCAGATCTTCTCTCTCTTTGTTTGGCATACCACATCAAAAATTTAATCTCAATATTCCAATATGTTTTTCACCTGAATCGTTGTTACTTATTAAACTCTGTTATTCGCAGCTCTGTTTAAATATGTTTTTCCTATAAAATACTATTGAGTATGTTGATGGATGTACTCGAAAAGAGTAAATAAAACAGTTTAGACATCAAGTAACACACACTCAGCCCTATGAACTTGTTCTAACAGAAACTAAGCAGGATCTGCCGAAATAGCTTGTAGCTCTGCTGTTATCTAATGACAGAGGCGACAGATCTGCTCTCAGAGCGTCAAAACTACAACCAAACTTACGTCTGTGGGTTCAGTGAAGTGTGTCGTTCCATGCATCTTTATACATTAAACCGGATAATCTGTGTCTGAGGTGTCACGTTAGAGTTGTTTTAATAATGTTCTGTGTTAGCATGATAAATAACATTAGTCACAGGCAGCTCATTTTAGTGTTAGACTGATATGAATCCTGCTGCTTTGAGGCTTGTAAAGTGGTAAACGTGGTCTATCCCTAATATAGTAGGTGGAAATTAACACCTTATAAACATAAATGCATCATCTGATTTTAATCACTTCTATTTCATGGACACTTTACATCATATTAGTATAAACGTCATTTAGAAAATAAACATCTGTTGAATAGGTGACAGTATACAGTAGAGGTGCTACCCAATATAAGGTTTTGCACAAGTGCTTGAGTGAACAGGATTTTCCTTACTCACTAAAGCCTCTTGGTTTAACAGACTTCACCTAGCTCCAAATCCAAATCCAGCAGCAATCTATGCCAACAACCTGGCATGGTTCCCTGGACCCCTAACCGTGCCTGTGACCCCAGCAGCACTATTCATGCCAAGGATCCTGACAAATGTTGGCACCCTCTCCTTGAGTGATGGGGGGGCAATGTGAGTTTTACAGCCAAGGAGGGAGGAGGCAGGTCGACACCTGGTTTCCTTTTTTTAGGTAGCATAAAGACATCCCTGGTCTTATGGGGTTGTGTTAATACATCCAATCATGGGATAAATATAATCTGAAGAGAGGATCTGTTGGGATTATAGGGAGGAAAAAGAGGAGTTAAGCAAAGCTTAATTTATCGCCGTTTATGGCTCAGATATATTACATTGCATCGGAAATACATTTATAGTTAGCTTAGACCCATCAAAACAAACTTGCATAGTAGATAAAGCTTTTCATACAAGAGCCTTAATCATTCAGTGATTCCTTGTTTTGATCAGGGAAATAAATATGTGAAAATAACATTCAATGTAATACAATCGTAAGTTTCTGAGGCACTATTTTCCTTTTTTCTGATAGGAAACATTGAATACAGCTGTCCAGCTACCAATGAGTGTGAAATCACCAAGAGGAGACGGAAGTCCTGCCAGGCTTGCCGTTTCATGAAATGTCTTAAAGTTGGCATGCTGAAGGAAGGTGAGTCGATTTAATCTGATTTAAGTGAAACTTCAAAAACAACAGCTTCTTAGTAGTGCAAACATGCCTAATATTATTTACAAAAGTGGTTGTAGTTCTAGCTGTATAGATTTTCTGCTTTGCAATAGTGATTATGATGCAGTTTTTCAAGATTTTCCCTATTATAAATACTAACTTTAATACATAGAACTACAATTTTAAAAGAAAGATCAACACAAAATAGTGCATAGTTGCAAAATAAAAGGAAAATGTCATATTTAGAAAAATAAAAACATGAAAAGTATTGTGTGTAGCTGTATTCAGACCCTTTTACAGAAATCTTCCTAAATAAATTTTATTTCAAATATTGTCTTCAAAGTAACAGAATTTTTAATTCCAGTTGAATATAATCTAATTCTAGTTTAAATCCAGCTGTAGTATGAAGGCATCAGAGGGTAGGCAAGAAAATATCTGTGAAAAAAAGCATGATAAAAACCATGGAACGCTGCAGACAGATGTGCTTTATTATATCTTAGTTTAATCCATGCCAACAAAATGAAAACAACATGACATAAGTATAAATTATTTATTATAGAAGCCGTAAAGGTGCTCCTAGGAGCAGCTGTAGAAATCCACAGCTCAGGTTTAATAAAAGTCAACACCGCAAGTCTTGACTTTATAAAGAAGTGGAATAACTGGAATAACTGTTTGCAAGAAAAAAAAAACAATACCTTATAAGCAGTTACTCTTTACAACTCAAGAATGCAGAAGAAAGTAATTTATAGTTTAGATTAAAATAGTTAACTTTAAAAGACCACATGAGCCAAACATGATTCAGACACAGTACAACAGATCCATTATATTTCAGAATAGGGGTAGGGTTCTATCTTCCCTTCTCTGGTGAGTGCAGCCATCCCTATGTCTTCCCTCCTTGTGTCCCAGTGATCTGGGGTTCCTTTGGGAATCTGGGGCAAGGATTTCCTCTTTATTACGGTAATCTATGAGTCTGGGGCCACTCACACCTGCTATTAAGCATAATATCCTTCTGAAGAAGCTATGTAAACCCTTTATACATGAGCATGCCCTTGTATACATACCAGGGGAGTTTGGTTCAAGATGTTTACAGATACACACTTATATTTAATACTAAGCTGCAGCTATAGGTATATTCCACCTTGAATAATATTGTGTAATGACCATAGGTATTGACTTCAACACAAATGAATATCTAAGGATACCTGCTGCTGTTGAAGCTTTTTTTGCTTTAGTTGTCTGTTGTCTTTTTTTTTCTGCTGTTATGCTCTCCGTTTTCGGTCCCTCACATCTCATAGTGTGGAAGCAGACGTTTAGGAGTTACTGTATATCTTCTGTGAATCTATTTCTGCTGTTTTGTTTTATTTTTTATTTTTTCGTGCACTCTTTCCTGTCTTTCTCTGTCTCTTTCTCTCTCCCCTTAGATCTTATCCCCTCGTTCTGTCTCACCTCCCTTTCTGTCTACATGTCTGTTGTACTCGATTTTACTCCCTAAATAACTTTCAACAAAGTTTAATATACAAGTATTACTGTAAGCAGACCCTTATGGCAATAGTCATCTGCTTGTGAAAGCAAATCTATTGGGCTATCAGCTAGCTCTGGGACCTATTACCAGACTATTACCGGACTATTACCAGAGTTATATTGGCAAAACTGGACACAACAAATAAAAAAAAAAAAATAGGTGTATGGCCGTCTGAATGCATAAAGGGATCTTGAATGCGACCAGAGTGGACTACCAAACGGCCCACTTTGATGAAGCAGAAACGATAAGTAGTCGGAGTAAACTTCGGGTTACATTAGACATCATCCTAAACACAGCACCTCCATAGAGGGAGTAGTAGCATGCTGCAGGGGTGCTTTTCCTGAGCAGACACAGGGACAGTTGGCCACAGCTGATATGACTGTAAATGGACTTAAATATGAGAAATTGAGATCTTTGGCCTCCAGCAGGATAATGACAATAGATATAGAGGCAGGGCTACTAGGGGATAGCTAGGGGATCAAAGCACAGGAATAAGTAAGAGTAAAGTATATATCTAGCCAAAAATATGAGACAAAAAAAACAACTTTACAATAAATTTGGTTGTGATATGCTATTTTGAACATTACAGCAAAAAGGCTCTGATCTCCTAAGGCTTAGGACCTAAGCTGTAATCCTGGCAAGACAAACATTTTCAGCTGTAATTGCAGCAAGAGGTGTTTTTACAAAGTCTTCACTTAGAAGCATATACTGTATTTCTTTAATGTGAAAACTGCATATTCATATTAAACAAGTATTTGGTTGTTATTGATAAATTGTAAAACAGTTCTGAATACTTTCTGAAATACTGTGATAATTAAACTATTTATTTTGCCAATTAAGGTTTTAATCAGAGGAACTCAACAAAAATATTTTGAATTTGTTTAATTTACTTAAACACTTGCATTTTTGGTGTGATCAGATTTTAAAGCGAGCCTCCTCCTTTATAAGGCAGTGTGGAGATCCTGCACTTATTTACTTCCCTCTCCCCACACCGGGGAGCCTAAAGTGTGCTTAACTCAGACAGTTAGGAAAAGCTGCTGAGTTGGATGTTCTTACAGAGCCTGAGTGAAATGTGTAACAGTACTCTTGAAAAGCGCACAGAGCGTTCCCCAGGGGAGATCTCCTCTCCCCTGGGCTCTGGGTGTCTCTCCCTCTCCTGCTCCGTCTGAGTCTGCCTCGCTTCCCCTCTCCTGCTTCTGCCATATTGATCCGCTAAATGCTTTCCGAATATGCCGCCTCACTTCCTGCATGTGTTGTTTTTCCTCCGGTGAGAGACCTCTGGGAGTACTGGAGGAAAATCAAGCGGATAGATTTTCTCTTTTTTTTTTTTCTTCCCTTTTTTTTTTTTTTTTTTTCTTTAGCAGCAAAAGCCAACCAACACAAGTATTTGTACATTGTTTTAAAAAAAACATATACGTTGGATTTATATGGAAAATTTTTAAGGCTAAACTTTGCCTTCCTTTTACATTTTCAAATAGACTTCCTAATTTTTAAAAACAAGATAATTTTCTATAGCAACCTAGAATGTTAAATGCTATTTGTGTGTTTTCTTTTTTATAGAATAGCATAAAACAATCCTTCGAAAGATAATATTGATAAGAAGATACGTACAGGAATTCCAAATCAAATAAATGTTAAATTGAATTGCAATTTGGCCTACTTTTAAATTAGGTTCAAATTTGGTTGAACAATACTCATTCATAAAAACAGAGTTGTATTTTAACAACAGATTCAAAGCATCAATTATATTTATTACTTTTTTTGTTTAGTTTTTTAAATACAGTATTTACCTAAACTCTCAGTTTTTTCTCCGTTCTGACCACATTTATGTGCTAAGATTTATATCTGTGTCATGCTTGAGGCTATTTGTAGTTAACTGTGAGCTGCCCTTCTAACAAAGAATTGTATGCATGTGTGACTCATGATTGATTTCCATGAAGACTGCTTTGCTGATGTAGCTGCTGTATCCATTGTGCTGCAGCTTTAACAGCAGTTTTACACAAGCACCATCTCTTGGGTTTTTAAACTTGAACATATCATCCCTGAGCAACAGCTCTGACAGCCAGAATGTTTTCGAAACTGTTTATAACAAGTATTGACAAACCTCAGTGTGTTTTAAAGGGATTTTATTGAATCTACCCACACAAAATAGCCCTTAGATTGAATTAAAATGATGCCTGGTATACAAAAAGGTTAAAGTACTGGAAAGTGTTAATAATTTATAAGAAAATGCAGCTATAGTTACAATTTTGGGGCTGTGTGTTTCAGATACAAATCCACAAATGGATTTTGATCTGTACTTTTACTAGGACAATCTTACAGGCGCAGTTGTAGTTGGTAGTATGCATACATTTACATTAAAAATTAAAAAGAAAAAAAGCTGCCAGTCATATAAATTGAAATTGACAAAATTAACAATAAATAAAAATTCTAAACCATGACATTGATTTTAAATATATATATATATATATATATATATATGTATATACAAAACTTGCTTTTTATTATTTATTATGACTATTTTCAGTTTTGTGTTATTTAAAATAGCATAACAGATTCACAAGTGTGAAATAATTATTTTTTTTAATGGGAGGGTATGTGAACTTTCAAGCCGAACTGTATATATGCTATAATTCATTTGAATTAATAGCCCTCCTGTCAACAAATTCTCCTTCCTGGGGTGTTTGACTTTACTTCTCCTCCAGAATTAGCGTGAACTTCATGGCTGCTTCTCAGATGAATGCTGGTCTTCTTGATGTCTTCAAAACAGCTGCTTTGATACTGAGATAAATTTATACATCGACAAGCTCCACTTTGTCTTTGCCTGTCACATTAAATCACACTAAGATACACTGAATTTAGTGGATGTAACATCCATAGCACATCACATTTGATTAAAGGAGAAAGGGACTTTAAATTTTCTTTGGTTTTGGCATATTGTGGACTTAAGGAGGATGTCTGATCTTGAATACAGAGGTGGGAGATAGTGGATTGCTCCACTTTTGAAGAAAAAGGTAAAACCAGCTGCCAAAGTTTAAAGTGTAAACTAGCAGCAGGTCTTCTACAAAATAGAGAAGTTTAGCCCGCATATATGTGAACAGTTAAAAAACACAAAATTTGTTATTAAAAAGCTCAGTTGTGATTTTGGTGTCTGATACATTTTTTATTTATTCCTGCTGAATATGCAAAAATGTGTATGAATGTGAGCAATATTGAAACGCACTGGCCTTAAGAATATGAATTGCTGTAAACAGTAATATGCTTAAAGCAGTTTTCATTAACAGAAATCGGACATCAATAAAGATAACTGAAAAGACATTTTATACAGCCTTTAATTCTTGACAATGCAAAAGTATAAATAATCAAAGTCTGAGTACAGTTAGGAACCCTTAGGACTTAAAATAAAATATCCCTGGTAACAAAATTTCCAAACTAAAAAGAGCAAATGAAAAGAATACTTAAG